CTTTATTTATACAGGTAAATCCCATTGAGCCTCGAGGACTCATTTACAAGAGAGACCTGATTTCAACAAAGAAAGATGACAACAATGGACAACAGCAACAACAATAAGCAGTTATAAAAAACTCATACTACAGTTTTTTTTTTTTTTTTTTTAACAAATAGGATGGCTAAAAGAAAAAAGGTAACAAAACCAAAAAAACTGCTAGATTCCGAGACAAATGTATAAAACTAAAAACAGGAACATGTCTGCATAATAATGAGTTATGTTATCGAGCCGTTTACATATATTTGTAATTTATCATTTTCAAAAGGAATATTTCCAGACAATATGAAAGTAGCTAAGGTAGTTCCTCTCTTTAAAAATGGTGATAAATGTGTGTTCAATAATTATAGACCAATATCCTTATTACCACAGTTCTCAAAAATTCTAGAAAAACTGTTTGTGACCAGATTAGATAAATTTATTACTAAACAAAACATTCTAAGTAGCAGTCAGTATGGGTTTAGAGAAAAAAACTCTACACCAATGGCTCTCATGGAAATAATAGAACTAATAACTACTGCTGTCGATCAAAAACAGTATTGTGTTAGTATTTTTGTTGATTTAAAAAAAGCATTTGATACTATTGACCACACTATTCTCCTTGAAAAATTAAATAAATATGGTATAAGAGGACCAGCATTACACTGGGTATCTAGCTATTTAAAAGATAGGAAACAGTTTGTACAAATAAATGGTGTAAGATCTGACCTGTGCAATATCACTTGTGGAGTTCCTCAAGGCTCTGTACTTGGACCAAAGTTATTTATTTTATATGTGAATGACTTAGTGAATGTATCAGGACTCCTCAAATGTGTCCTTTTTGCAGATGACACCACATTTTTTTGTTTGGGTAAAGATGTAAAACGGATGTTGGAATTGATGAAGACAGAATTTGATAAAATACAAACTTGGTTTAAACTTAATAAATTATCATTAAATTTAGATAAAACTAAATACATGATAATTACTAACAAAAAGAGAACTGTTGATGATCCATTTAAGATTGAGGGTGTTGAGATTTGTAGAGTTAATGAGATGAAATTTTTGGGTGTAATCATTGATGAACAGCTAACATGGAAAAATCACATCAATTCTGTAAGAACAAAAATATCTAAATCTATTGCAGTACTATACAAAGTCAGGGAAATATTAAATGATAAAGCTCTGTACATGTTGTATAACACAATCATTGTTCCACATTTAATCTATTGCATTGATGTTTGGGGGAAAGCATGTAAAACATTTACAAAACCTATTTTTATTTTACAGAAAAGAGCTGTAAAAATTATCTCCATTACAGTCACCCATCAAGCACATTATTTTATCAACATTATTTTATCAACTGAACTTATTGAAGTTCCATGATTTGGTAGATTATAGTATTTTATCAGTTATGTATAGGGCTCAAAATAACACATTACCATTAAATATCCAAAGAAATTTTGTTAAAAGACAAAGTTGTTATAATCTTAAGGGGATAGAGATATTTGTCAAACCAAAATTCAGAACTAGTCTGAAGGGAAGGTCTACCTCAATCCAAGGAGTTGGATTGTGGAATGGTCTAGAGAGTGATGTGAAAAATGTCAAGTCAATGTGCACATTTAAGAAAAAGATCAAAACTGAATTGTTAAAAAAGTATATATGAAGTAGCTTAGTGTGTGTTTTGTATTAGAATTAGAAAAATTAGAAAGTTATTCATTTTGTTCTGTTACTTGAAAATTATTATGTCTGAAATAATTGTTTGAAAAAAGGGGCAGATATAATAGGATTTTTTTCTTCTTTCTGCTGCCTTTCATTTTAAATCTTTTGTATCCTTTTTTTTATATTGTTATGGAATTGTTTTGTACTTTTTTAAAATGAATAAACTATATACCATACCATACCATATACCATACCATTTTAGCAGTCCTGAAAACCTTTTATAAATCCAGAGGAAACAGAGCCTTTTCAGCTCTGACTCCTAAACTGTGGAATGAGCTGCCACTGGAGGTCAGGCAGGCCCCGTCACTTTCTGTTTTTAAAACTCGTTTTAAAACACATTTTTTTCATTGGCTTTTAACCTTGAGTGAGCTAGCATCTGTGTCTTAATGTTGTATTATTTTACTTAAAAACCACATCGTGTTGCTGCTGATCTGTTCCATGTTGATGTGTTCATGCGTGCACATCCGCTCACACAGACTCATGTTCATGTTTGTGCTGATGTTCAATGTTTTATGTTATGAGTGCTTAGTGTATATTTAGTTGATGTTTTTCTTAGTTCATATCTTAGATGTTATTACTGTTTTTCTTATATCCTGATGTATGCTCAATAATCCAGGTAGAAAAATCCAAAAAAGTTCAATCTGGTCCTCTGGACCAGATTGAACTTTTTTGGGTGTTTTTCTTATACATTTTATTGTTGGATGTAACTGGGACCCTGTGTACATAATTCTGCTCCACCACATGTACCACATGAGGTGCGAATGACAATAAAGAAACTCTGACGTTCTGATTATTTTATATAATATATATATATATATATATATATATATATATATATATATATATAT